GCGGCGCTTATTCCGGCAACAATTACAATTCTCCTTACTACCACAACGATGGCGGCAACTTTGTTCACAACAGCGGCACCACATATGGCAACGGCAACGGAAGTATTGTGAACAATCGACGCTAATTAACTCATAATGGTGATCCATCTATCTATCTATATTATTAAGGGAATAATATGGTCATCATAGAAAGGATAATGCTAGCTGCTAGCTAGTATTACCCCTTTCACTACTATGGTTTGATCCTTAATTATTATATATAGTGTGTGCGCGGTATGTAATCAGGAGGCTATTCATCATGATGATCCTCCTCTAAATAAAAATATCGTTTCAGTTAAGGTTTCAATTGTTTAGAGGGCTCTCTCCTGCATGAGATGAGTCTTATGCATGTGATGTGAAGGATCTCATCAACAGGGAAAACTTCATCAGTAAATCAGATGGTATGTTGGAAACGGGTGCTCAATATGAGTAATTAATAATTGCTAAAAATATTACCTTTAATATTTAGTAGATTAAATTAATATCAATAAGAGGTTCATCCCAGCTTGTAAAAGAGGCTATGGCTGCTGGTTAAAAAAAAAAAAAAACAAGAAGAGGAGCTTCTAAAGCCTCTGTTTCAATCCAAATGAGGCAGCCCCTAAAGTTCTGCTGTAAGATTGTCATCTTCCTCAATTCTAAGGAGAAAGCCTTCCGCTGCCAGGTTAGTCTGGTGCATGTGGTGTGAATAAATCAGATGGTATGTTGGAAACGCTTGCTGAATATGAGTAACCAATAATTGTTAAATAAATAAAACTTGTTAAAGACATTATGCTATCATCACAATAAATAAATAGTTAAGGGGTTCAATTTTTTAAGGGTCTCTCTTCTGCCAGGTTTCGGAGTTGCATCAGTATAACTAAATGAGTAAAAAGATCATATAGTACGTATGTTGCTTATTACGAATGAGTTGATCTCCAAGTAAAAAAGGCTATGACTACGTGTAAACATAAAGTTTCAGGTTCAAATTTTTATGAATACAAAACATACTACCTTCTATCATTAATATAAAAGCTAGTTAGTGATTTAATTTGGTCCTAGTATACTTCTTGTTTAGAGTATTAATATCTTTCTGCCTAATATCACTAAATAATTATAAAATTTCTGATTAATTAACCAAATTCTCTAATTAATCACCTTACTTTTTAACAAATGGGGCATTAGTCCAACAAAAAGTGACTAAATCAATCTGACTAATGTCTGCTTTCTGCCCCAGCTTCTAATTCAGCCAGCCTCTTCTTTCACGTCATTAATAAATACTACTCCCTCCGTTCCAAATAAAAGACCTGTTTTGTAAACTAAATTACACTACAAATGTATCTTATATTTGGGACCTCAGGAGTATGATCAACGATTCAATTGACAGAGAGTGTGTGTGTGTGTGTGTGTGTGTGTGTGTGTGTGTGATCCAATGTTTTAGAGTTGCCTGGGTGCATGAAATCTCAGCCTTTTGCGTGTCATTTACGGGTGAATTTTGGATGAGAAATTGAAAGTTCATATAGCCGTCAGACATGACCTATCTAATTTCCTTGAACTATTTTGATAGAAAGCGTAATTGTTTTCAGATCCTCCATATTTTCCTTAAAAAGGAGAGGGTATTTTAGAAAAGATAACACTTATTTATTACAAGTAACTAACTTAACTGATTTTCTTAATCTACTCAAATTAGTTAATTAGCTCTTATATTAAAAACTAAAGGTAGTATATAATACTCTTTCAGTCCTTAATATAAGACCTATTTAACTAATTTGATTAGATTAAGGAAGTTAGGTAACTTAGTTAATTATAAGAAATATAACATGTTTTTCCTAAAATGCCATAATTATCTTCCTTAATATCCTCTCTCCCTTTTCTACTTAATTATGGTTAAGGAAGTATCCATGGAGATAATTTAGAGAAAAATGATAAATATGAGAAATAGGTCTTATATTTAGGACTAAAATCAACTCAACAATTAGGTCCTATATTAAGGACCAAAAAAGTAATTGTAAAGGTGAAGGAATATATGCATCGTGATAGTGGGCACAGAAAATTAGGGGGCGAACAAAATTCTCTGCGATAATATAATTAATTTAGTTAGAACTCTAGGATTCGAGTTAATCCTATGCATATATTGTTTGTTATTGATTTTTTAAGAAAAGCACTACATGTGAAGAAGATATAGAATTTTCTTTTAAAGAATGATTTTGTCAATATATATTTATTATCTATGTTTTTTAAGGGTCTCTTTTAACAATATAATTAATCATAACAACAAATTATGCAATAGAGATTGCAAAATTAAGACTTACGATCAAGTCGCTTTTTATATGTTGAAATGTTCGTTCAAAATGCATTATCATACTCTTGTTTGATGCGCTGTATTAAACAAGTTCAGTAAAACGCATTAGACAATCTGAATCTTGAACAATTATATATATATATATTAATTCTTGGTAAGTAAATGAATTTGAAGGACTAGGTGTGAGTTGAGGGGTAGGAAAAAGCCTAATTTTCATCAGTTAAATATGGATAAAATATAAGTGACCATAACGTATAAATTTAATTCAGAGATAACGTAAAACATCATTCAATGAAAAGTTCCGTTGTTTAATATTGGCCACAACACTCCAATCAAGCAGTCGACTTATGAGATGTTGGTTTCAGTTTAGGTACCCGATCTTTTTTTTTTTTTTTTTAATGTATGCGTGTGATTTTCTTTAGCTCTAATGGATTTATTGATTATTGGTTGATATTGATCATGTTCAAATTATGTAACTTTCCTATATATTAATAATTAAAAAATTGGACATTAAAAAATTATAAGAAATTGTGCCTAAATGCGATGTATATATGGTAGAAGTTTTAGAAAGACAAATTACATTCAAAAACTAAAAATTCTTTATTAACCGGCAGAACAGTTGTGTCTGTCGTTGGAGCAGCACGTTTTCGAATGTGGTTTGTGTATAACATAAAAAGAAGTTTTGTTAGTTAATATTTTATAATTAAGTGAGTAATATATATATCTTCACTTCTATATTTAATTTTTTTTCCTGCTTTCACATCTAAGTATTTTTGGGGCTACTATAGCTATTACGACTAATCCAGATTGAAGTTTTTCTTTTTTCATATGACTATCTCATTGGATGAGATTCGGACGTTATTGAGCCTAATTGGGGATAGCTCTTCCAAAGATGTTTTTTTGCAGATATAGTAATTTATTATGATCAGGGTCAGTCCGGAAGATCTGGATGAACGTAAAAAAGAATCAATGGGCAGAAGAAATTAAAGATTCCTCCTATCCATCCCTATTACTATATTAGATCCTTCACACACCTGCCTTGTAGCAATATATGCTTTCATTTAATGACCTAGCTTCGTTGTTTTATTTGTGAACAAGAATCTAACTTTAAAAAAATGAAATTAGGCATCATATGCTTTTATGGAGTGTGGATGAGAATCATTTATTATCGGTGCTAAAGGAAAAGAAACAAATTTGAAACCTAACTTATTCCACGTTAAAACTTTACACTTCCTGCCATCCAAATTTTTTGATGAGTGTGACTGACCTCATATCATTATGTCACCCTCTACGTCGGCTGTGGCCACATGCAGCTATAGCCTATAAGTGTTGTTTAAGAAAAAATTGTAACTTTTGAAACTAGATCTTATACTAAAAACCGAAGATACATATATACTACCTCCGGTCCTAATTATAAGAGCTGGTTGACTAATTTGAGGAGATTAAAGAAAGAAGTTAAGTTAGTTATTTGTAATAAATAGGTGGTGTCTTTCCTAAAATATCCTTACTAATCAAGTGTATTGGCTAGAAGTCTACTATTATTAGAAGGACTATCTTAGAAAAAAAATGCATAAATATGGGAGACAAAGTGGATGGGGATCTTATATTTAGGACCAAAATAAAAGTCAAATAAGGTTTTATATTAAGGACCGGAGGTAGTATTATAGCTATACGAGAAAAGAAAAAATATAAAGGAAGAAAGAAAGAAAGATGTGGATGAGCCTCCTACCAATTTCCAAAGTTTTATCTGCTCCCTCTCGTTACAACGTCTTAATTATTTATGCCTCTGTCAAAAATGTTTTTATTGTTTGTTTCTTTTCTCCAAACCTCTCTCCTCAAAATAAGAAAGTATCAAGTGAAAGTAAAAGGATGAAAAAAAGGGCAGCCAGAGAAGGAAAACGTGTCCATGCATGGTTGGCCTACTTTGTAATTTTATAATGAATTCCTCACACTACACTAACATATTCCATCAAGTAACCATAGTTCGGTACCGATTGGAAAAGATGGAATCGGATTAAGGAGGGGGAAAAAAAAAGAAGAAGAAGGGATATATACCATAAAGCTTCTTGCTTAAGGAAGGAGAGACAATACAGATTGTTGTTAATGCATCTATAAAAGGCAGGCGAAGCAAGCAAGACGAGCAAAGCCAACGGAAAAACAAAGAAACTCTATAATATCAAATAATCACTGAGATCAAATGGAGCCACATACTGAGCCGACCAAGAAGCATCCGCCGAAGTTGCCGGCATATGAAGCTCTGGCTGTAGCCAGCGGAGCAGCAGGCGGCATCAACACTGGAACTCAAGGCTCGTTCAGTAACAGCGGAAAAGGCTCTCAGAAAATCGAAAGCGTTAGCTTCAACAACGGCTCTCATTCCGGCGACAGATACAATTCGACTGGCCACCCCAAAGTTGACAGCGACGATGTTCGCAACAGTGATGCAACGGCAAAAGAAGCACTATGAAAACTGGACGCTAATTAGCTCATAATGGTGATCTATCTATCTATCATTCTATCTATATTACCAAGGGAATAATCAATAAGAACTGTATGATCATCATAAAAAGGATAATGCTAGCTGCTAGCTAGCATTGGCCCTTTTTTTTTTTTTTTTTGGTAGAAAGGGGGCCCACAGCCCAGAAAAGTAGAAAGAAACTACAAAGAAAACAAAACCGACAAGAACTCAACCAGCATCACGCCACCTACTCCCAATCTTATCTTCATTGAATACCTCTTCCACTATTGACGGGGGCTTCGAAAAAAGACGTCTTTCTTCATACCCATCCCAGCTGGCACTCCATTTCGCCATCGCATCAGCGCACCCATTGTTAGTTCTTTGAGTATGCGAGATCCGAATCCTTACACAGCGATCTGCAGCATCTCTAACCATTCTAGTGTGAGCATCAATTGGTTCATCTTCCTTTGTTTTCGCTCTCAAAGCCTTCACTAAGCACTCAGAATCAACCTCAAGGTGAATTCTCTGGTAGCCTTTCTCTAGCGCCAACTGCAACCCCAGGAAAGCTCCCCAACACTCTGCTTCGTAGGCTGTACACCAACCTAAGCCCTTGCCAAATCCAACAATCCATTCTCCCTCATGATCTCGCAGCACACCACCGCAGCCAGCAGGGCCAGGGTCTCCTCTACTAGATCCGTCCGAATTAACCTTCACCCAACCTCTCTCCGGCACACTCCACCTATTCTCATTAGCATCTACACGACACCCCCTCACTTCTTTATCAGCCTCCCGTGCTTTGATCACCTCCATGGCAAAAGACCAGATCTGCCAAGGATTCGCCTCTTCCGTCCTCTGTTCAAAGACTCGAAGGTTTCGCCGTTTCCATAAGCTCCAGCAAGCGACTCCAAAAATCACTGCCCAAGGTACACCACTACACACCTCTTTACTTTTCAAATTTTCTACAAGCCATTCTTTGGTACTGCTGTTGAAAAATCCTGGTTTGATTTTGTTGTTCAACCCAAACCACAGTCTTGTAGCTAGTTCACAATCCCTAACCACATGAATTGAAGTTTCACTCTTTGCACACACTCCACATTCGTCTACTGCCCCCCATCTCCTATTCCTTAAATTGTTAGTGTGAAGACTATTATTAGCCAGAATCCAGAGAAAATTTCTAATCCGTTCCGGCCCTTTCCACTTCCAAACCAAGTCCCAAATCTTTTCTTTCTCCCCCAGTCGACAATCTCTGAGTAATCTGTACCCACTGCGAACACTATAGCACTTAGTACTGTCATTCCCCCAAAAAATGCGATCTTCCTTATCCCCCCTTATCGGTGGCCTAAGAGCTTGAAGCCTCATACAGGCTTGATCAGAGAGTAAATCTTTCAGAATAGACCAATCCCAGGATCCATCATCTTTAACTAGGTCAGCTACCACCCAATTTAGCTTCTCTCCCTCTATTTCACAGCGTCGCTCATTGATTAAAACGACGCCTTTTCCTGCCCATTCGTCCCTCCAGAAATTCACATTTTCTCCTGACTCCACACCCCACCAGATTCCCTCATTCAGTTTTTCCCACACACTTCCAATGTCTTTCCAAACAGGAGATGCATTACGTTGCACCTTAACAGTACTGTTAAAGGCCTTCCCTTTATTATATTTATACCTAAGAACATCAGCCCAGAGTCCACTTCCCTCACTCCTCAATCTCCACACCAGCTTCATCAAGCAAGCCTCATTCATATGCTGCAAGTTTAGGACCCCTAAACCTCCTCTGTCTCTGGGTTTTTGGACCGTTTCCCAGTTGATTAGATGCATTTTCCTCTCTTCCATTGAGTGGCCCCAAATAAATGCCCTTTGGGCCCTTTCAATACTGCCAATGATCTGTGTAGGAATCTTCGTCACCATCATAGAATACAGGGGGATAGCACTAATAACAGATTTTGCCAGCGTGACCCTCCCTGCCATACTTAACACATTGACCTTCCAACCTCCCAATCTTCGTTTCACTTTCTCCACCAATCCTCCAAAACTTCTGGTCTTGTTCCTTCCATAATAAGTAGGAACTCCAAGATGTATTCCTAAATCCTCAGTCACCCTAAAACCTGCCTCTCGGGCCAAACTTTCCTTCTTATTAGCAGAGACATTTTTAGAAAACAATATGGCAGACTTAGCAAAGTTGACCTTTTGCCCAGAAGCCTCACCAAACCTTCTCAAACAGTCTTTAACTACTTTAATTTGCTGTAGTGTTGCCTCCCCAAAAAGAAGAAGGTCATCAGCAAACATTAAATGTGTAACACTTGGTCCCCTTCTTCCAATACGGATAGCTTTCCATTCCCCCTTCCTCTCTGCTTCCTGGATAATGTGAGTCAATCGTTCCATTACTAGAACAAACACATAAGGGGACAAGGGATCCCCCTGTCTAATTCCTCTTGAGGGCAAAAATGCCTCAGTCTTTTCTCCATTCCAAAGCAACCGTGTTCCCACAGACTTAATACATCTCATTAATAGATCACGACACTTCTCCTTCATCCCCATTTCCTCCAAGACTTCCTGGATGAAACCCCATCTCACACGATCATAAGCCTTCTCTAGATCCACTTTTATAGCAAAGAAACCCTTTCGACCCCGCATAGATCTCATAGAATGTAGTAACTCATGAGTCACAATAATATTGTCCTGGATATGACGACCAGGCACGAAACTTACTTGATTTGGAGCTACAAGCCTTCCCAAAATTCCTTTAAGCCTCTTGACCAGGATCTTTGAGATACACTTATATAACACATTGCATAGAGCAATGGGTCTAAGCTGCTTCATATTCTCAGGCCGATCAACTTTAGGAATCAGGACAATCAACGTATCATTGACTTCCTTCATCTCTAGCTCTCCATTCCATAGTTTCTTAATGGAAGTCACCACCTCTTCTTCAACCACATGCCACTCCTTCTGAAAAAAGACTGCTGGAAAACCATCCATCCCCGGTGCTTTAAAAGCCCCAATAGAAAACATTGCTTCTCTTATCTCCTCTGAATTCACTGACCTTTCCAATTGATCCCAACTTCTTTCACTGATTCTAGGGTAGGACACCCCTACTTCAAGCTTCCCTCCTGTCCCCTCCTCCCTAAAGAGGTTCCTATAGAACTCCAGAGCCAAACTTTTCAACTCTTCTTGATTCTCAATCCATTCCCCATTCTCATCTTTAAGCATGGCAATCTTATTTCTCCTTCTTCTTGCAACAGTCTTTAGATGGTAGTATCTAGTGTTGCGGTCACCATCATTAATCCAAAGGGTTCTGGACTTCTGAAACCAAAGCATTTCCTCCTGTCTCAAAACATCTCTAAGCTCCCCTTGTATCTCTTGTTCTAGTTTACACAAATGGATATAATGTCTATCAGATGCAGCAATCTGATTCTGAATTCCTTCCAATCTTGCAAGGAGCCTTTTCTTTTTTGAGTGAACATTCAGAAACACCTCTTTGTTCCACTTGCTAAGTGTCCTCTGCAGATTACAAGTCTGTCTGTAGCCACTCCTGCTCTTCCCCAGCCTTCCTTGACTTCATTTTCAAAGGATCATGCATAAACCAGGCAGCCTCAAAGCGAAAAGGGTGCTCACCTCTTCTTTCATACCTTTCCATGCTCAAAAGAATAGGGTGATGATCTGAACAACCCAGTCTTGCCAAAACTTTGACAATCGCCTCCGGAAATTTAATTTTCCAATCAGCACTGCACAAACCCCTATCAAGGCGCTCATACACCCTTTGATAACCATGAATCAAGGGTCCTTTCCAAGTGAATCTGTTACCACAAGATGCTACTTCTAACAACCCACATTTGTTAATTCTGTCTTCAAATGTATCACATCTTCTAGAGTTGATAGGAGCTCCCCCTTTTTTCTCATGAGCTCCTCTAATGTCATTGAAATCTCCCAACACCATCCAAGGCCCATTACACTCCTTTGCTATTCTCTCCATATTCCTCCAGAAATCTTCTTTCTCTCTGTCTCTTGGAGCCACATAAGCAAAGACAATATGCCATGGCTCCTCCCCATCAAACTGGATTCGAAACAATCCATATTGCTGTCTTTTTTCTAAACACGTTAGACTGACCCTTGACTTGTTCCAGGCCACCCAAATTCCTCCTGCAAATCCTATCCCCTCAATGGCTTCCACGTCCATAAACCCTAAGCTTCGAAAGAAATTTTGGGCATTTCTCGCAGGTACTCTAGTTTCCATGATACTGACAATCTCTGGTCTCTTCATCTTAATCATCATTCTCAGATCCCTCTTCACCTCCTTTCCTCCTGCACCTCTGCAATTCCAAGCTAGAATGTTTTTATTCATATTCATTAAAAAGGAATCAATAGATTAATCAACCCGCATCTCAGCACTCTCCTCCACTGCTTCCATAAACAACTCATCGTTATCTCTTTCTTTATCTGGTGGCTTCCCCCCTTCTTTATCTATCCAAGCCTCCTTGCTCTCAATCCTACCCTCTCTGGGGCTTATCACATTTGGATCTAGTTCTTTTAAATAACCCCTCTCTTGCTTCCCCTCCTCACCTTGAGAGGCTTCCCTCACGTCATCCCCTTGAGTAATGCCTTTCTTTCCACTCTTGTTTAACCACCTATTTCTTGCCGATGTCGTGTTCACAGGGATAATTGCCCTTTCACCACTGTTCCTCTTCCACTCCTCAGCCACTTCTTCCCAAGTTTTATTGTCAACTATTCTATTCTTCCTCTTTCCCTCAGTGGCAACCGAGGAAACAACCAGGCTTCTATCATTTCCCACTGCTTCCTCCATCCTGTCCAGCTCCTCAACCTCCAACCCATTAAATCTGGATTGATCAGCTCCAACTCCCCCTGAAGAGACAAAACCTCTTCTCTCCATTCCTGCTCTCCTTGGCCCCCTCCTTTTCTGGACTAAAGTCCATTCTCCATAAAGGCTCCTAGATCTATCCTGTCCTTCGCATTCCTCCATTCCCTCATTCATCTTACTCGTTTCCTCCACTTTGTCTGCACAATCCTTCTCACCATGCCCATACATGCCACAATGATAGCATAGGGAATGTAAGCCCTCATATTCAACATTAAACTTCCTTCCTTCAATAAGAAATTGAGGAAGTAGAGGTTTAGACAGATCTACCTGCACTCCAATTCTTGCAAATTTCCCTCGGGTCTGCATCAGTGTTGTTGCGTCAACCTTGACTGTTTTACCTATTTGATCCCCAATTGCCTACAGCACAGTTTCCTCATAACACTCTAGGGGCAGATCTGAGAGTCTAACCCATACCAGGACCTCTTCTAGTACCTCCGTTAGCGGGTTAAAATTGCCTCTCCACTCCCTTACAGTCAGATAGTGATCTGCGATAAGCCAAGGGCCCTCACTTAAGGCTCTATGGTAATCCTCCCAGTTGGTGAAATTTACCACAAAGAAATCATTCCTTAGATCCACCACTGAAACCGTTCCCAATTTGCCCCAAAGACTCTGTAGCTTCATCTCCATCGATCGCAAGCTAAGTCTCCACCCAAGTAACTTGACAATTAAACTTTTAGCAAACGGCTTCCTAAGTTTCTTCCGCCCCTCCTCCGAAAACACCAGTTCAGGAATCTTCATATTCCCCTTTAAATGATGCACAATTGTAATGCCGAAGTCATCTAAACCTTCTTCCTCCATCTGATCCGTCTCCAATTCCCCCCTACTCTCACCCTTCAATTTATTAGCGTAGGAGACAACAGAGCCGTTCTGCTCGTCAAATCCAACCTCCGCACCTCCTCTCATCTTCTTCTTTGTTCTCTGCAGCAGGTCCGATTCATCCGCCGCTTGACGTTCACGGAGCATTGGAAAGTCCGCTAAGGTCAGAGCACGGGAGTTGGCCATCGCGTCGGTTTACGCTTTTAATTGAGGAACATATAGCATTGGCCCTTTAATTACTATGGTTTCATCCTTAATTATATATATATAGTGTGCGCGCGGTATGTAATCAGGAGGCTGTTCATCATGATGATCCTCCTCTTAATGTAAATAAAAATATCGTTTCAGTTAAGGTTTCAATTGTTTAGAGGGCCCTCTGCTAGCTGCATGAGATGAGTCTTATGCATGTGATGTGAATAAATCAGACGCTATGTTGAAACGCTTGCTGAATATGAGTAAGTAATAATTGTTAAATAAATTAACTTGTTAAAAGACATTATGCTACCATCACAATAAATAAATATAACTTCCTTAATATATATAGAAGAGAGTGTGGATTATAATTTAGAAATAGGCATCAATTATAAATTGAAAATTGTTACAAGTTCATTTAAATTAATTCAGATTTTTAAAAAAAAAAAAAAAACTGGCCGATTTAATCATATCAACTATATCTGATATAATTGGTTTTTGAATTTGCTAACTGGCATAGTTGGTTTATTGCTCGGGCAATGAAACCAAGTCTCGTGATGATGATCCTTTAATTTTCTTGGTCAAGTTGCATTAGATTTTGGGGGTTAATACATGCATATATGCTAGTCAAGAGACGAGATCAAAAAAGCGAAATTTGTGAATTTTAATTTCTAAAACATATGGACTAAAATTTGAAAGGGATAAACTGTAGGTAATAACTAAAAAGAAATTAATCTGAGCCCGAATTTATACCAAATTAAATCCTTACACCTACCGCGATGCAATTTTTGGGAGTGGGCATATGTCACCCTCTGCGTCAGGCTTAATTGCAAAAGTGATACAAGCTAAGAACGAATCTACTTCTTACGCAAGAAAAGACAACTTATTAATATATATGGTCATAAACGAGCATGTTATCCACAAATTTCAGCTATAAAACTGAAAAGCGATGTAGCTAATACTACTTCCGGTCCTAAATATTAAAGTTAGTTGACTAATTTGAAGCAATTAAGAAAATAAATTAAGTTAATTATTTATAATAGATAGGTGTTGTCTTTTCTAAAATATCTTTGTTAATCAAGTGTATTTGCTAGAACTACCATTATTAAAATGACTATCCTAGGAAAAAAATATATAAATATGAGAGACAAAATGGATTAGGATCTTATATTTAAGAGTAAAATAAAAGTCAAATGAGTTTTTATATTAAAAACTGGAGGTAGTAAATTTTATTTTTTATCCTTGCAAATAATGATATGAAAGACATCATGGATACACACACACACATATATATCCGCCTGCTGGTTCTAATCTCAATAAGAATATGCTTCTAAAGCCTTTGTCCCAAGGCCTTTTCATGAGGCAAGGTTCTGCTGTAACATGGTCACCTTCCTCAATTAGCCTTGTCTTTGAGGATGTGCCCGCAAGCCGCTCTATTGGCGGTGTCAGAGAATGCGTTATTTGTTTCTTTATTTTTGCAAACCTCTCTCGTCAAAATAAAAAAAGGATTAATTAAGAGAGTAAAATAGTGAAAAAAGCAGGCAGAGAAGGATTATACAGCAAAACGTGTCGCGTGTTTGGCCAGTCTTTTAAAAATCTTATAATGAATTCCACACACCACAGTAACACATATTCCATCAACCTATAGTCGTCGTTTAACTAATAACCATACAGTTGGGCAGCGATTACTAGAGATATGGAATCGGAAACGTGACCATACATGAATTAAGAAAAAAAGATACCCCACAGCTTCGCGTTGAAAAAAGGAAACAGTACAGATTCTGGTTAGTGCATCTATAAAACGCCGGCGAAGCATGCGAGACGAGACAAGACACCGATCGATCAAAGCCAGAAAAGAATCAAAGTAATAATATTATATCAGTGATCGAGGAACTCTATCGCCGGTGAGACCAAATGGAATCGGAGCTGATCAATAGACTAAGTATGTGTGTAATCCACCGTTTAAGAGTTGCCTTGGTGCATGAAATCTCAGTGTTGTTCGTGTCATTTACGGGTGCCTTTAGACAAGACCTATCTAATTTGCTTGAACTATTTTGATCGAAAGCGTTACTGTTTTCAGATCATCTATATTTATATAAAAAAAAACAAATGGGGCATTAACCCAACACACAACTAGCGGGGGAGTATTCAAATAATATCACGAAAGGAAAAGATTTTTATTACAAAAAATAGAGAGGTTCAGGAACCTCGTATTCATTACAGACTATCAACTTCGTTGATCAAGATTCATGTTCCTTAGACTAAAGCATAGTTATTCATAAAGGATTATTATTAAGGCTTTAGAAGAAGGGGCTGGAGATCATTAATTACTGAACTGTTCTTAATTAATTCCTGCCGAGACTGGTCGAAGTGTCAAAGGAACCGGAGATAATGGAACCATTTCCGTTGCCGGTGCCGGTGTTGCTGAACATGGCCGGAGGAAAGTTCGGTCCCGGTGGTGCTGCTGTGACGGGGCTTCCCTGAGGAACGGCAGCGCCGGTGAGGTTGGCGCCATGCTGGGGATGTGTTTCCACTGGAACTGGTTGCCGATCAACGAGTCTGAACCAGCGCATCAAATCTTCTTTATTGGCCATCTAGCTGGGGTCAATCTCTTCCGCCTTCAAACTTATTTTCGGCTGTGTAATTGTTTGCCTTCTCTCATATAGTTTGATAGGAAACACACACTACCTCCAGTCTTTTATATATATAATAATATAAAAGCTAATTTTACTCTCAATTTGGTCCTAAATATAAGACATCAATCTATTTTGTCTCTCATATTTATCTATTTTTTCTGCAGTAGTCCTCACAAAAGCTACACATATTAAATATTTTATCAAATGATAGATTTATTAATACACATTATTAGTAATAATATTTTAGGAAAGACAACACCTATTTATTATAAATAACTAACATAACTAATTTATTTAATCTACTCAAATTAATTAATTAGCTCTTATATTAAAGACAAGAAGTAATATATATATATATATATAATTGAAAGCCCGAAGGAATATATGCATCGTGATAGTGGGGGACTAACAAAATCCTCTGCAATAATATAATTAAGTTAGTTAGAACTCCACATGTTGGAACAGGCCAGGACATAGGATTCGAGTTAATCCTATGCATATATTGTTTGTTATTGATTTTTTAAGAAAAGCATTACATGTGAAGAAGATATAGACTTTTCTTTTAAAGAATGATTTATAACCGGAACAACGTTTGAGTCTGTCGTTGGAGTACCATGTTTTCGAATGTGGTGCGTGTATAACATAAAAGGAAGTTTTGTTAGTTAATGTTTTATATATAATTAAGTGAGTAATATATATAATTACTTCTTCTTCTTCTTCTTTTTTGCTTTCACATCTAAGTATCTTTGCGGCCACTATAGCTACTACGCCTAATCGAAATTAAATTTTTTTTTTCATATGACCATCTCATTAGATGAGATT